AACTCTGTTTATTCGGGAGGGAAAAAAATGCTGGTTCTTGTTTCCAATCATGTTCATTGGAGCTTCTGGCTCCAACCAGCCATTTGGATGATATCTCAGTAACAAGTTCATCCTGAAATCGTCTGAATTAGGGTCTGCCATCAGAACTGAGCAATGCCAGATTACAGCTGCTCTCTGTTAACCTAAAAGCAGGGTCCCTCCCTGTAGCCAGCAAGTTCTCCTGGAAGCTAGAGAACACCCTATGGAGTGGCCTAGGGGCCTCTTCCACGCAAGCAGCCAGGCCTTTAGATCTTTCGTTTTTGTAAGAAGTGTTTTATTTCCACACCTAAAATGATATGCTTTTTAAAGTTTATGGATCCTTTCAAGTCTGACACATTGGACCTTTTTTCTTTTGCATTTTTATCATATGTGTTCTGATTTAGCAGCATCAAATCACCTGCAACATACACAACTTTCCCAAATCTTGCCATTCTGTAATGTAAAACGAATGAGTGCATGTGTGTACATAGATGCATATTGTGGTATAAGGTACACCACCAGTTTTTCTGGGACAGTGGGAGGAGACTGCACAAGGGCATGAGTCCCAGGGGTATCTTTGAGGACTCCTTTGGAGGCTGGCTACCCCAACAACCCTATTAAATTAGTGCACACCCTCGTTCTCATTTTATCTTGGTTTATATATTTATAATTCCCATCGCTACTTTCAATTATTTTATTTGTTGTAAAATAAGTGTCCACCTCCCCCACTAGCTTGCACGCTCTGTGAGATCAGAGACACCCCCTCAGACCTGCTCCCTGTGGTCTCCTCTGTACTTAGGAGCAGCGCCTGGCACCTAGTAGGTACCCAGTAAACACTGGTTGAAGGAAAGAATGAAGAATCAATGCCAGGACCAGTGCCAGGTGCTAGGAAACATAACAGTATCTGTTGTTGGCTTGCAGCCCTTACATTGAAGGCCCGAGACCAGATTGGGTTCTTTCAGGTGAATTTTCATCTCTCTGAACCGTTGCATTCTGGGCTGATTTAGTAGCTTCACTTTCTTAGATCCAAAAGGATCATACCCTGTGGGTCTCGGGAGCTGCCGGTTCCAGCTGTGGCATTTCCCTAAATACCCCTCCCTGGCTTCAGAGTAAGCTAGAGAACCAGTAACTGACGTTCCGCCTCTCACAGGACTTCCAAAGTGGAGATCTCCCTGGACTCGGGAACGGTTTCACATGCTGGGCATCCGTCCAGAATGACAGAGCCATTATATCCAGGTATCCAGCCTGGCCCCCAATAACCAAGAATTGCTTCACATCCCATCGCTTACATTTCTTTGTAAGGCCCATGGGGAGCCCCTTGGTTTGGCCCCATGCTCGCCTCTCCAGCCATGTGACTATGCTAAATGACCCATTTTCCATGATCTTGTCTTGCCCGCCTAGGTAAGTCTGGCTTATGGTTCCATAATAATACAGCTCCACAATTCTTTGTCTGCAGTTCCAAAATCCAAAAAGCTCTGACCACTGCAAGGTCTTTCCTCAGTTTACAGGGTTAGCCCCTCCAGCCAAGGCCACCAGAAACCCACGGCAGTTGGGCAGAGTTGGGCTTACTGACTTGTTGTCATGAGGGAGAACACACTATGTGTTCTCCTTCACCCTGCTGGTGGGGGAGGGGTTCCACCCTCAATAGTGTGACACTAGCGCTAGACAGGTAAGACTGACAGCAGTTATCAGCCACATATGCTCACAGCCAAGGGGAGAGGACACTGCACGTCAGGCAGGGCCACTTGGGGTTGCCCTTGCGAAGAGAATGAACCAGCAGGGGCGGTGGGCTGCAGGCTTTGTAGTAACGGGGTGGTGCACCCCCTGGACCCTACAGGGGGAGGTGATGGGCTTGTTGAATAGTTTCACAGGCAGGCAGGGAACCGAAGCGACTCAGATGGAGAACAATAGAGTGCGGCTGGTCTGGCTGGTGGGGGAGCCAGGTGGGGAGCCTTTCCTGCCAGGTCAGGGACATACCTGACAAGAGCAGAGCAATTCAGGGGGTCCTGTGCGGCTCAAAGATGTCAAGGCAGCATTTGAATTTTTAAGTCTTAGAATATAGTGGGGAATCCAGGGCACCTCATAAGAGGGTTAAGTTAGAAGGATTAGTTACAGGATTTGGGCCCATCTTAGGTGACTGGGGGAAGTATTCTGGACTGGGTCCTGTCAGGAAGCAGGGCTAATTCTGTGGTATTTTAATCAATTTATCTAGAAAGTGGGAAGACTGAAGCGGATAAAGCTCTAGTCAAGAAGCAGAAGTCACTCATAGTAGCCAGGATAGGGGGCCATCTGGTCATGTTTGTGGTTGGACAGTCTTCTTGGGTTTGGACAGTCTCTGAGTTCAGACCTGATTTGTCTTGGCTCATCATGGAGGCAGAGTGGCCCTGTTGGGTCTGGTTTTCTGTGGAGTTGTGTTCACAGGAACATACTATGGCCCTCCTAGCAACTCCAGGGCCAGTGGTGCCAGGCCAGTGCCCACTGTCAAGAGCCACTTTCTCTTTCTCCATCCTATCCCTCCCTTCTCCCCTCATAGCCAAGGACAAATGCAGGCAGTCCTCAGAGCACTCATCTGCTATATTCAGAGCTTCGCCAGTGCCAAATGTTGCTGGTCAGGAGGTTATTCAGGAGATGTGGTCGTAGCTGGGCTATCATTAGACTCTCCTTCTGTCTTGCAGAGTGAGTTGTCAAGGCCTCTGACAGGACAGTCGCTGCACTTAAGACTCTGTACAGAACACACTGGCCACCCAAACACAAGCCACTCTCCGAAACAACCGACTGTTGGGTCTGGCACCAGATCCTGAAGACGGGCTTCAATTGCCAAACCCAGGCCACGAAAACATCCTCCCCCTCCCAAAGTTCATCTGGTCTTTCCCTGGAGAGCCAGGTGTATGTTTTTTTTAATCCTAGTCACAAACTGTTCTTGACCTGTGGTATTTATGAAGTACTTACATAGGTGCAGCAAGAAGTATTTACTTGAGCATAAAGTCCCTCTTGGTTAGCCAAGAAAAAATTCAGAGTTTCATGATCTGCTAATGAGTTTACATTTCATCTGGTTTGTCAGAGCAGAAGTTGTGTCATCGATGACATCTGTTAGGGGAAGAGACAAGTTTTGGAGAACATTTCCCAGTTGTATTACCCCTGCCATGGGAACTGTAGCTGGTATAGTGTTTATGAAGAGAGAGTCACTGATCCCTCTGGGAGCTCTCCTGGGTAGCCTATGCTTGAGTCTTTTTGGAGGTATCTGGGTATTCTTTCCCAGAGAACACAATCTACCAAGGGGGTGGCAATTTTAAACATCTGGAAGTCTCTAATGATCACCCTGAATGCCCAGGATAAGTGAGTGTGTGGCAGGTGGCTATAAGGCTGATGGCCACGTAACAAGTAGTATCCAATGACCACCAGGATGACTATAATAAAAAAGACAGACAATAACCAGTGTTGGTGACAGTGGGGAGAAATTGGAACCCTCATACTGTGGGGGTAGGAGTATCAAATAGTGCACTGCTATGGAAAAGAGTCTGGCAGTTCCCCAAAATGTTAACATAGAACTATCTTATGACTCAGCAATTCTGCTCCTAGGTAGGGACCCAAAATAACGGAAAACTTGTGCTCAAACAAAACTTGTGTTCAAACAACTGTTCATAGCACCATCATTCCCAGTAGTCAAAAGGTAGAAACAGCCCAAATATCCATCAGTGGATGAATGGGTAAACAAACTGGTCTACATATACGATGGAATATTATTCTGCCGTAAAAAGGAATGAAGTGCTAACAAATGCTACAACCTGGATGAACCTCGAAAACATTTGTTAAATAAAGGAAAGCAGTTAGAAAAAGCCACATATTCAGTTCTGTGAAATATCCAGAATAGGAAATGCATAGAGACAGAAAGTAGATCAGTGGTTGCCAGGGGCTGAGGGCTGGAGAAATGGAGAGTGACTGCTAATAGTATTTCTTTCTAGGATAATGAAAATGTTTGTAAATTGATTGTAGTAATGGTTGCACAGCTCAGTGAATATACTAGAAGTTATTGAATTGTGTACTTTAAATGAGTGAATTGTATGGTATGTGAATTGTATCTCAAAAAAGCTGTTACCCCCAAGAAATAATAATAATATCTGAGTGAGGTCTAGACAGAACTGAGGATCTGTATACATTTATCACAACAGTGAGCTTTTTGTCCTTTCCTTTCAAGGTGGGCAGATTCCTTCAGTGGAATTAAGCAGTTTCTTTAAAGCAGGCTGGTGTGTCTGAAGAGAACAAACAGAGTGTTGTAGCACCGGGAGTCCCAATGATTGGCCCTGAGCCAACCCAGCCCTTGAGCAGGGCTCGCACTGTGTGCCACGTATAAGCAGTATGCCAGGAACATTGGGGTGGGCCAGGGGCAGAGGCTCTCGGGGTTTAGTCAGGGACCTTCCCTGCAGACTTCCCTGGGAGACCAGGACCAACAGGTTGCTGTTTTTATGCCTGAGGATTGACAAAAGCAGGATCTGACATAGGGACCCAGGCAGCCTCCCAGTCCTGCAGCAGCTGGCTCGTGGCCATGTCCTCAAGCTTTTAGAGCACTGGGGTCTTGGTGAGCCCCAGCTCACGGCGGGAGCACAGCAAGGTTCGGGGAGGTCACTAATGTCCCTGGGAGGACAGGGACATGCAGCATTCAGACTCGGTGAAAGCCAGCTGCCTTATGCCCTTTTCACCGTCCTCCACCAGAAACTAGAACACCTGTGTGGCATCAGAAACCTGTCTAGCTCTTCAGACTCTGTGCCTGAAACCTGGGCTTTCCTAAATCTAAGAACTCTGTCTCCTGTCCTGATTCTAGATACTTCTGAGGAGCGAGCTGCCTCTCTGTCATCCTCCCCGCATGCTTCTTGGAAAAGGCCATCAGTCTGACATAGTTGAAGGGCTTGAATGAAAAGGTTGGCCATTTGTGTGTTCAAACGTTCATTAACTATTAACTGAGCACCTACTCTGCTCCACTCCAGGCCCTCGGAAGCACGCCCACTGCCATGTTCTCTGGTGTCCTAGCAACCAGAAACTCATCTGCGCTCTGGCCAGGACAGAAGCCATTTTCTCCCTGACTTCTGTGACTTGCAGCCTCCGTGGGTCTCTGAGCACCTGTTTGTGCAGCTTGTGGGTCCACTGAAAGCTACCACCTGTCCCCGGGGACACTCAGAACCCCAGGCCAGCTGACCCTCCTGGCAGAATGAGCTTCTCACTCACATTCTCTGAGCTGGTCAACATCGCCATCCCACAGTGTGGCGTGGTAAACTTCAAGGCCCTGCACCTCCTGCTCCATGGCATCCTGGAGCACATCCATATGTCTGAGCTCAAGAAGGTCCTCTCAGGGGACGAGGATTTCCTCCAGTCCTCCTCACAGGCTGTGTTCATGCCCCGGGAAGGGGACGCCCAGCCCATCCTCAGCCCCATGAAGAGGCTGAACAACATCTTCGACCATGTGGTGAATCGCATTGACAAGATGGAGAGCCAGCTGGCTGTGCTGCAGGATCTGCCCTCTACCTCTGAGCTGCTGGAGGCCAGCCAGGGGACCAGCCGGCCTGCCCAGGAACTGTGGCAGCTGATAAAGCTCCAAAAAATGGTGGAGGGTCATCAGGAAGCCACAGAAAAGGTAACCCGCCCAGCCTCCAAAAGCTTCCTGCCTCATCTTGCTTTCCTCCCAGGCGTCTCACCCCCATTCCCTTGTGGCCCCTTGTGATGGGCCCTCCCCAGTCAGAAGTCAGGCAGAACCAACACTTGAAGCTTGCATCCATTGTCAAGTGGTAAGGAAAGAAGCCAGGCACAGAAGACCACATATTGTGTGATTTCATTTATAGGGAATGTCCAGAGTGGGCACATTCATAGAGACAGAGGCAGATTGGTGGTTTCCAGGGGCCAGACAGAAGGGGGAACGGGGAGGGACTGCATAGTGGGTACAGGGGCTCCTTTTGGGCTGATGGTAACATTCTGGCACTAGATGGAGAGAGTGGTTGCACAACATCGTGAGTACTGACTGCCACTGAATTGTTCACTTTAAAATAGTTCATCATATGTTATGTGACTCTCACCTCAAATTAAAAATAATAATAATCGCTGACCACCCGTAAGGAAGGCACCATGACAGTCAAGGCGAATAGGAGTTTATGTTCTAACAAGGGAGACAGGCAGGAAGCAAGTCAATAAAATCTGCAGGAACTAGCCATAGGAACAGTGGGAAAGCATTACCCCTACTTTAAAAGTAATAAACTGACACTCAACAGTGTTTATGAATTTGTAACGGTACTGTAGCCAGTGACACTGGAGCAGGAGACGACCTGGGGCCTCTGACTCAGGGCCTGCCTTGGACCACACGCTCTCCTGCCTCCCGGCCTAGCATGTGGTTATCCATCAGGCCCTGTAGCCTTAGGGAAGACTCTGGATCTTGAGGAATAAATACTCTAACCTCTCTCTCCTCCCATCCTCCCATTGGCTAAACTGGAGGGCTAGAGGTATGGGGAATGCAGTGCCTGTGCCTCAACTTCTAGGACACTGAGTGCACGACAGGGATGGAGGATGGATGTGCAGGGATGATGGAGAACATCCATCGCACAGAGGGCTCTGAGGCACGTGCTGTAAAGAAAACGGAACAGAGCTGTGGGGGAAGGGACTCAGGAGTGAGGCAGGTTGAGATGGTTTTGGAAAAGTGGATAGAAGTTCAGACAGAGAGCTCTTTCTAGAGGAGAAAGTGGCAGGAGCCAGCACAGGGCACGTTTGGGGCATAAGAGACAGTCCTGTTGGCTGCTCCCCAGAGGAGGGTTGTGGATGATGAGCTGGAAGGCACGCTGTGGCCCTACCTTGGGAGTCTTCAGGTGCTAGGGAGACATGTTTGTTCTCATCTAAAAGGTGGACCAAGGTTGGCATGTAGTCTTTACTTTTGGGGCCTGGATGTGAGCTGAGCTGCCCCAGAGAATAGTCTGGCCTCAGGGGAGGGATCAGCAAAGGAGGCAGGACCAGTGGTGGGGAAGCCACAAGCCATGACCACCCGACCAGGGAGCAAAACGGTACATCAGGTGTGGTAGGCATGGGACGGAAGGGCTCACCACGTGCCAGGTAGGCTACCTGGCTCCTGGCCAGGACAGAGGCTGTTTTCTTCCTGACTGCTGTGACTTGCAGCCTCTCTGGATCTCTGAGCACCTGCTAATGCTATGAAGATTAAAGGATCTGGGCGTCCCTGGGGACAAATAGTGGCTTTCAATAGACTCACGAGTTGCACAAACTTGTTTTCCCTCTCCCAGAATTATTGTGAGAATTAAAATTAAGATAATGCATGGGAAGTGCTTAGCACAGAGCTCCATGTTTTCTAGGTGCCCTCAGTGGTCACTGTTGTTATTAGTCAGAGATTTGAACTGAGCAGGGAAACTGATATGGAATGGGACCTCGGCAAAGTTAGTCACCCAGAGCCCTGCAGGACCACGCCCAGCGTCTGGGAGAGGGGGAGTCTAGTCTGGCCAAGGTGGGCTGATGCCAGGCAAGAGGCAAACCGACAACCTGGATGAACCATAAATCATCGTGCTAGGTGGAAGCAACCAGACACAAAGACCACATGTCGCATGATTCCGTTTGTATAAAACATCTAGAACAGGCACGCCTGTAAAGACAGAAAGTAAATTTCTGGTTGCCAGGTGCTGGAAGGAGGGGTAATGGGAGTGAATGCTGATGAGTCTAGGGTTTCTTTTGGGGTGATGAAAATGTTCTAGATAGAGGTGATGGTGCACAACCTTTGGAATGTACTAAATGCCACTGAATTGTTCACTTTAATATTGTTGTGTGTATTTTTGGTTATATATATTCTACAACACACAAAAATTAACATTTCCAGAATCAATTTTTTTAAAAAACATGGTCTAACTATCTGATGTCTCTAAGAGACACATTTTAGATTCAAAGACACAAACTGGTTGAAAGTAAAAGGATGGAAAAAGATGTTTCATGTAAGCTGTAACCAGCAGAGAGCTGGAGTGGCTGTGCTGATATCAGACAAGATAGACTTTAAGACAAAAACTGTTCCTAGAGACAAAGAAGGCCACATGGGTGGCTGAGGGTTTTGGAGGGCAGAGAGGTGGACACAAGCGTCTGGGGTGCCAGCCCCTGCAGAGCAGTGTGCCCACAACCAGCCTTGAGTGACCCAATCAACTCACAAAAGGGGCAAGTCCAGACCTGGGAGTGCAGCCCTAAGAGGACTGTTTGTGCACCAAGGAATGTCCCTGCCGTTAGTGAACGAAGGTCGCCTTGTCAGAACCTGGCTGAGGTTGCCAGGGTTACCACAATGACCCACTCTAGGGGGTTGCCATGGAAGCTGTTTCTAGGATGGTGCAAGCTACTTAGCTAAGTGTTTGCACCCACCAGCCAGTCAGGCTGGCTGATGAAATGCCGTGTTGATGGCAGAGGTCACCACCCCTTTCTCTGGGCTGGCTGGATGAGTGTCCTCTACTGCCCTTTATGGGCACCCGTCAAAGTGCAGAGGCCCTACCACCCACCCCAGACAGTGTGGATGGTGCTGGGAAACCAGGGCAGGCACCAAAGAGATTTCTTGAGAGAAGGTTTGGGAGGACTCACAGGCGTGGCCTGAGCGAGCTCTGGTGCCCTTGGTCAGGCCACTGCCAGATTCAGAGGCTCAGGCTCTGCAACAGGTCCTTAAGCAGGCGTAGGTTGCAGGGTTTCTCACCCTCACAATACTGACATCTGAGCCGGATGATTCTTTGTGGTGGAGACTGTCCTGTGCACTGTGGAAGTTAAGCAGCATCCCTGGCCTCCACCCACTAGGGGCCAGGAGCTCCCCATTGTTGTGACAACCTAGAATGTCTCCAGATATTGCCAGATGCCTGCTGGGGGCCAAACCATCCTGTTGAGAACTGCTGAGTTGGAAAACCTGCCCCCCCCCCACCCGCTGCTCCCTGCATGGTTATCTCCATAACCTCGACTGTCTGCTCGTGCACCTGCCCCACCTGGGTAATGTTCCCACTGGCATCTCCCAGGCCGCCTTGAACATGAGTTTTAGAAAGCTGCGTTTGGAAGTCCCTGTCTCCTTGAGGTCTTGGTTATCTCATCTGTGATGATGACCCCTGGCCGCTGGCTCACAGGAGAATATGAAGGACCATGTCATCTGTTTGTTACTAAAATTTTTCTGTTTCCATAAATAAACTTGTGGATCCCCTTAGGGGACTGCAACAACCTAGTGTTGCTTTTTAAAATTTTTTAATTTTAGAACTCCCTCCTCAACCCCAAACTTCTGCTGTATATCCCACAATTAAAATGATTTTAAATTTAAATTGGTTTTTGAGCATTTCATAACAAAGGCATGGGAAACACTTTGGGGATTTAGAGAATCAGAGTCGAAGTTGCTGCAATAACAGTAATGAAGTTCGTAGGTCGGCAGCCACCTACCAGGGTCCCAGGAAGTACTGTCGCATTCCTAGTTCTGAAAGTGAACATTCCCATTATCCAAAGCTCTGGCCTCTGGGGCCACAGAGACCAGTTTAACTGGTTGTCCGAGAGGGTGTTTGCTTTGAACCCCTGTATTGGATGGGCCCTTCCAGGCCTCTTGTAAGCACTGGGCCCTCAGTCGGAACCTACATTCTTTTTATTTAAATTTATTTATTTAAATTAGTTTCAAGTACTGAACCTACATTCTTGAAGCCCTCTTCACAGAGAGACGGAAAGCAGAGATGAGTGCAAGTCTGCACAAGCCCAGCTGCCAGTGCCTGCTTGGGCTCCACACACCTTGAGGTCCACTTCTGGGAAAGACAGCTTTCTACACTTGCTTCCCTTGAATGTGGTTCCATCCAAGCCCTGATTTCGTCCCGAGGGGCCATGTGGGCCCTTCTGGGTTCTTTTCCCACCAACACAGTCCAAACCCTGACCCTTCCCCAGAGTCCCTCCACTGGCCCTTCCTCCCGAGACTGGAGTTCACTGCATGTCCCCAGGCTTGTAAGAAGCAGGCTGGGTCTGGGGTGGGGGAACCTATAACTGCCTATCATGTGAGAGCAGCGCTCCCTGAGAAAATCATCTTTCTCCTCTGGTGTGCAGCCCTCCCCCGTGGAGCAGCCTGTAAGGTTCACCATCTTTTCTGGGTTCGCCCTGTTACTTAGCCATGTGAGGGTAGGATGACTCCTACTCAGATAATTTGGTCCTCTGGTTACCCCAGGGAGACAGGGAGAAGGGAAACATTGTGCACAGGTCACAGACTTCTCTGAAAAGCATTTTCCTTCCACTGCCAATAAGGACTCGTAAAACCTGTCCACGATACCATGATCACCCCCAATAAAATTAACAATAACTCCTGAATACCATCTAATAGACACTGTCGAAATTCACCCCACATGTCTCTCAAACAAAAATGCTGTATTTTACAGCTTTATTAAGATGTATTCCATATACCAGAAAATTCATTCATTTAGAGTATGGAGTCATATAATATATGTCAGCTATACTTCAATAAAAAAGTTAAGTGTACGGTTTAGTGATTTTAGAATGTTCACAGTTATGTAACTTTCACACCCAATTTTAGAACATTTTCAACAGGCCAAAATGAAACCCCTGGACCGTTAGCTGTCATTCTCCATTCCTG